AAAAAATGGTAAAAAAGTTGTTTGTGGTGGATTTACATATACAATCCAGCATAAACTAAAAAAAAGTATAAGATGGAAATGTTCACAGAAGTATTTTAAAAAATGTCCTGTTGTATTAATTACCAACAGAGGCATGTAACCTGTATATTTATAATATATTTACGTTTTGTTGTTAATTTAAATATGTAAAAAATATATTTATGTATGCAAATTTAAAGAATCCAAGCTTAGATGTAGAACATTCACATGCTGGTGATCTACACATCGGAATCGTTGAAAAAGCAAAAGAAGAAATGAAAAACCGATTTATAATGTCAACAAATACATCTTCTCAAGTTTTTGCGGAAGTAGTCAATAATTTGCCAAAAGAAGCTCTGAAATCCATGCCAAAAGAAAACACCGCAAAAAGAACGTTGCGTAATTGTAAAGGTCAAATGTATCCAAAAAAACCTCAAACTCTAACAGAGCTAAGTATAAATTGGTGATTGGACATTATATAAAAATGAACGCTTTTTATTGTATGATAATGGACCTGAWTCTRATGAACGAGTAATTATTTTTTCTTTGGATGATGGTTTACGATATATCACTGATGAAAATAATTGGTTTTGTGATGGAAAMTTTTCTTTAAGTCCTGAACATTTTTTACAACTCTATGTTATAAGAGTAAAAAAAGATACATATTTGTGACCGCTGTTTATTTATGAAAGCTAATGAGTTACTGGAGTACTTTGATTGTACATACGTCATGGGTACGGGATAATGCATAATTAATAATTATGTATACTAAGTTAATAAATAATATTATTTTTAAATAATTTTTTCTGGGACTTTTTTTCCCGGACTTTTGTCCTCGGACTTATTTTACCCGGACTGTTTTTCCTAATATCGGTATCAAATAGCTACTTTATTATGTTATTCCRTATTTAAGAAATTGGGACACGAAAAATGACATTAAAATTGGATTACGATATCTAATTTTGAACATAATAACAATAATATCGCTTATCGTTAATATCATAAGCACTCGAGTGGTATTATAATACCCGGAACGCTATTTATTTTCTGGTTTACTATACAATAATAAATTTCAAAAATGCAATAATCCGGACAAAGTGTTTTAAAGTATTTTTGTCGAAAAATAGTTCACCCTAAATAAACTATATAATATTATTGCAGGTAGTTCAATAGAMACCGATAAACTTACTATAGTATTAAATTAAATTATGAAATATTAAAATAATTAATAATCAGCGATTTATGTGTTTTGRATTCATAATATTGTTATTGCCATGATGATGAATAAAATACATATTATTCTATTATTCCATTATATTGGTTCAGAATAGATAAYTCRAACCACAGTTTTCTTAAATATAATTTAAGTAACATAATAATAATATAATATAATTATTATTGTTAATTATATTTTATTCTTTCAAAAGTGTTAACAATAAACCACCGCTTCGCTCCGTGAAATCGACAATAACTTCAATGTACCAAAAAACTTACTTGATTCGGTTACCATACACGTATATAAATCGTCTTTGGAAAACTCGTTAAATCCGCACAGTGTGAATAACTTTATGTGTGTTTATTATGCGTATACASTATACATATATGATAATAATAATAGTAATAATAAACACCACGCGATATAACCACCGACCACCGCGGTGGAAATCGATAACCCCGCTTCAGCGTGACGTTAACGCGCGCTTACGGCTAGATTTAAGCTTGAAATCAACTTTTGAGAGATTTGAATTTTTTTCTCTTTCTCTTGTGGTATAGGTAACAAAGTTCTTATAGCATGTTTTTGTTTTTTCCAGCACCACATCGCGTACCTATGGTTTGTATAAACGAATAGCGAATTTATATAAGTGCCAAGTTCCGTATTCGTTTTATTTTTTTCACCCGTCCGTAGATAAAATTATGTTTAGAACTTTAGCACATTGTTATTGTTAGGTACTGATACACTGTCATCGTGTTATTTCTGCAGTGTTTCATAAACCGATGTCGTGCACGCCGTGTACACGCCCGCCGAAGAATATTTATTATTATTATTTTWTTTTATTTATTATTTTAATATTTATACATTTGATACAAAATAATCTCAATTTTAACTCGGTATAGATACCTATATACATAATAATATATTACCGTTAATACAGATGAGCAGATAATTTTATTCGTAGCTTGATAATCAATACAGTTGCACTGAAGGCACCGGCAAACGTATATTTTTCAAGGAGTTGTGTTTGGGCAATTTCTCCGTTTATCGCGGTCATGGCTCTTCTTCTGTGTGCGTATATTTCCACCAATTCTATAATAACATATTATATGTACTACTCATCGGCATGCACACGTCATTTAGTGATTAGATCAAAATATTTAAACTCAATTTAGGGACATGACATATAGCTATACGTTCGACAAAAAATCAAGTTTTTCTTAAGGTCTGATTTAAAAAGATTATGTATTGTATTTCAATGTATCATCAAGATTAGTTTGTATCCGTCGGAGCACTTTTTCAATTTTAGTAAATTCTAGAATGGAATAACAATCATTTAAAATGTTCAATCTCTTATGATAAATACATTAAAAACTATTTATAAAAAATGTTGAATGCAGGCTCATGCAAAGTAAATTTTTTGTTAGATTAAATATATATGAGATTTTAATCAGACCATTAAAAGTAATTAACTTAATTTTTGATGGGCAAAAAGGATATTTTCATGATAGATGTATCTATAATAGAGTCTACAAGGATTTAATGAGAGTTTAATTTGGTTTGATTATGAAATATGTTAGTAACAAATAAATAATCAATTTACAAAAATATCAACAATGATATATATATATATTATATTATGTCTTATCTAGTTTAAATACATGCATAATAAATGAATATTATTTTGTTATTTATATTTTAATTATCTTTGTTATGTTTTGATAACATAAAATCTCTAAGCTAATCTTTTAGTTCTGGTGTGATGAGCCCACGTTAATCTTTGATCAAGAATAAGGCCAAGGTATTTGATTTTTGGAAAGTAGGGAATCGGAAGRCCGTATAGAACTACACCAGGACAAGGAGTATGTYTGAGGATAATGGTTGTGTGAACTGACTTATTCTGGTTAACTTTAAACCGCCATTTTGTGAACCRTTTTTCCATAGCATTAAGGTGAGTTTGTAGGTTTATTGACGCTATGATTGGATCTCTGTTGATGGATAWTAACGCTTTGTCATCAGAGTRGTCAGCTACTGATGTATTGGTAGTAGTAGGTTGGTCAAAAGCAAAGTTATTATAAAGAATTGGAGATAAGATACCACCTTGAGGTACGCCAGCCTTTATAGGAGCTATATCAGAGAGAGTGGAACTGTAGCGAACTTGAAAATTTCGATTCGTTAGATAGGATTTGATGAGTAGGTAGTAAGTGGGTGGAAGGAATTTCTTAAGTTTATATAAAAGACCATCGTACCACACCCTATCGAAGGCTTGTGAAATGTCTAGAAAAACACAATTGCAATAAATTTTTTTTCCAGGGAATACGAGATGGCATCTACTACTCTGTGTACTTGGTGTATGGTTGAGTGAGACGTTCGAGACCCGAATTGGGTATTTGGAAGAATATTCTTTTCAGTAATGATGGGTATAATACGTTTCAGAATTAATCGTTCAAGGATTTTAGCGACAAATGGAAGAAGGCTGATTGGGAGATGGGAAGATGGAATGTCCGGCGGTTTATTTGGTTTAGGGAACAAAACTATAGTGGAGAATTTCCAAAGTAGAGGAAAATAAGAAAGTCTAAGTGAAGCATTAAGTATGTGAGTGATGTGGRCAATWGCTCTAGTTGGAAGAGATCTGGCTACTTCCGCAGTAATTCGATCATAGCCTGGCGATTTGTTTAGTGAGAATTTCTGTATGGCAAATTTTACATCATTTGGAGTAAAAGACTTGACAGGGAAAAATATAGGAAGGGAAGAATTTAGGAACGTTTCTACCACATTCATATTTTCGTTATCAATTATGTTGTAGTGTGGTTGAAAAGTTTGAGAAAGATGCTCCTTAAAAAGTTCAGCTTTTTCGAGGTCGGAGAAGGCAAGGCTACCATCTGATTTTTTTAAAGGGAGATTTGGTGATTTATAACGAAGTGTTTGCCTAGTTTCTCTCCAGAGACTACCATCTTTGGGAGTAAGCTTCATTAAGTGATTTTGCCAAACATTTGCCTTAAGTTTAGCAAGCATTTTTTTAAGGTAATTAGCTAATTTACTGTAAATTAATTTATGGGAAGGGAGTCGAGTGCGCTGGAAGAGTGCTCTTGCTCCCAGCTTTTAGACTATTTTATTACGTATGTACACAGGTAATGGATCTGATGATACTTAAGGATTGATTATTTTTCATGAACTAAAAAAAAAATTTTTATTCTTAGAATATTTATAATGTTATGAAATCCATGCCGTAATATTCTTGTGCAGTATACTCGTGATTTTTATTTCTATTGTATTATGATAGTGAATGAAATGATTTTATCCGTTTCTATAAATAAAAATGGCTATATATAATGGCTAATAGTTAATAATAGTAACATATAATAGTATAAACCCTAAAGCCTTTCATCAAAAAAATATATAGGGAATTTATAAGTCGGAAATAATGATGACATACTTGGCTACTAATACGAAAGTTCACATTTGACACATTTGTTTTAATATTTTTTTWAATAATGCATTGTGCACTGTTTCTTTTGTGTTTATAGAAAATTTCGAATATGCTAGTAAAAAAAAAATAAAAATCCTCAATTGAGTGTATATTACACCATTGTCTTCTTTCTACATTATGAGCACGCCACAGGCCACATACAATTTAAGTATACATTATATTATAATAAAACATAAATTGTTATTTTGATTTTTTGATTTTTGTCGTGGATCATTAACAGTTTCGATTCAAAACGAACAGCAAAAAGGTTACAAATTTAAAACCAGAATAAAATAACTAAGTTGTGGTTTTATATAATATTATATAGAAAGATAAAAAACTAAGTACATCTTTTAGATAACTGAATGCCTCCTCACAAAAGATACCAGACAMAAACTGATGCTACCCAACAATCTGTGTAAAATACTTGCTAATAATTGATCCTGAGTTGAGCATTTCTATCAAAAATAATGGTAACAAAAATAATAGTTATTATTATTATAACATTTTAATTTATTTTAGTGGTAAATAAAATTGAATTCGTAAAAATGTGGCTAAAACAASGAGGGTGAATTTAGAATACAATTATCACTGGTGGAGTTTGTCATGTTAATTAAAAATCAACATTTAGTATTTTCTTTTCATTACCAGTTTAATTTTCTACCTAGTAATCATGATTCGTAAACATAACATAATGAAGATGTATTATAGGTTCAAGTTTCTGTATAGCAACAATAATAATAATAATAATAATTACAATTAAAATAGTTGTACCTATAGCTTCAAATATTATTTAAGTGGCATATAGAGTAAATCACTGAAATATATTGTATTATATAAAGTTAAAATATTTAAAGAAACATTAATAAGAAACGATTACCTATGCTATATTTTATTTTTTGT